CAGGTGAGGATTTTATTTTTTATTTATCTCCAGGCATTGGCTATATGTGGGAGGGGCAGTTCCTCCAGTGTTAGGAAGGTCTGTGATGTCAAAATATCAGAAATACAGAAAATAAGGAGGCACAATTAAAACCCAAAACGGGCGCTGGGGCGTAGCAGGTAAAGCTGCCACCTGCAGTGCCAGCATCTCATATGAGTGCCAGTTACTCCATTTCCATTCCAATCTCTTCTCTGGCCTGGGAAAGCAGTGGAAGATGGCCCAACTCCTTGGGCCCCTGCACCCACGTGGGAGACTTGGAAGAAGCTCCTGGCTCCTGGCTTCGGATTGGCACAGCTCTGGATGTTGTGGCTATCTGGGGAGTGAAACAGCAGATGGAAGGCCTCTCTCTCTCTCTTCTCTGCCTCTGCTTCTCTATAACTCTGTCTTTCAAATAAGTAAATAAAATCTTAAAAAACCCCACAAAACCAAATATGTATGCATTGGTGGAGTAAAATGAGCTCACTATGTGAATTATTATTTTTACTTAAAAATATAAGCATGTATCATATTTAAAACTAAATGCCTTTTTAAAAGATTTATTTATTTATTTAAAAGGCAGATTTACAGAGAGAGAGAGGGAGAGACAGAGAGAAAGAGAGAGAGAGATCTTCCATCCACTAGTTAACTCCCCAAATGGCCACTATGGCCAGGGTTGGGTCAATCGAAAAGTAGGAGCCAGGAGCCTCCTCTAGGTCTCCAATGTGGGTGCAGGGGCCCAAGCACTCGGGCCATCTTCTGATGCATTTCCAGGCACATTAGCAGGGAGCTGGATTGGAAGTGGAGCATTGGGGTCAAGGATATGTAATTATATATTTCTCTTGTTTTAAATTAAAAAAAAAATCTAACTGCGCTTGACTGTCTACTCACACAAACTAACAGACAAGCTTACCATTCTGTTACCTCTGTCACTGAGAGAATGTTGCTTTTGGAACTCAAAAGTGACACAGTGGATATTTAAATGAAAAATGTTGGATTATTTGTATCTAATATATTTTCATTCTTTGTCTTGTTGGCATTCTAACAATTCCCATTGAGTGTTCTGCAGGTTTGTTAGACTTCAAATTCCCAAAGTACATTCTCTATTGCATCACAAATTAGTCATGAATTTCACAGTGTAAGAGACCTCTCTGTGAGAAGCTATATTTAAGAGCAAAGGCCAGGACAATCGGCTGTCATCTGTTCTATTAGGATGCAGTGATGTCTGCCATGTGAGAGTGATGTTGGATTGCTAGAGGTAAACGCTTTTGTCATTTTTCATATTTACAAGGAATAGGACAGAGAAGAAATAGAAGCAGATATCGTAACTCTTCAGGTGTGACATGCACCTAGAATGCAAAAATCAGAATCATAGCAGAAATAGACTGATATGTGAGACCCCCATTCAATCACAGAGGAGCACTTTTTCCTCTTAGTGCTACGGCTCTACTTCCTCCTCATGTTTGGCATTATTCAATTGGGATATACACAGCCTTTATTAAAATATCCACTACTTTGGGACTATTAGTGCTTGTCCTTACCTGTGTTCACTGAAATAAGCAAGGGAATAGGAATAATAATTAGTGCAGAAATGCTGGGCTGAGAGCTCCCGAGAAAATCTTCAGCAGCCTCCTGATTTTGCAGAAGGGAGCTCTGACCTAGTCCCCCAGCAGCTGCAGTGAAAAGCTCTCCTCGTCTGAAGCTCGGCGCATATGTCAGCTGGAAGCTGCTTAAAGCAACACCTTCACACACTGCTATTTTGTAGTCTCTCAGGTTTACACAATTACCGCTAGCTCAGGGATTCACTCCTAAGCAGGACAGAGGATCTATATCACATATTTACTTCTTAGAAATTAGTGCTCCGATTTAGTTTTCATACTTGAATATCCTACTTACTGTTATTGTCCTTACCTTATTAAATTATCAAATTGATGCAGTGAGATAATAAAAAAGTTAGACTAAGGAATATTAGATAATCTTCCCAAGATATTGTGGTTCAGAAAAACGTGGAATGAAGAGTTTAAACACAGATACACAGGTGCCCAAACGAGGGCTTTTTCTAGGCTATCCATTACTTTATCTAGAAAATCATAACATTGAAAAGATCTAGAGGCTAATAATTTCATATAATTTTGTAGTGCCTTTTAGTTTACTTGTCAGCACTGATGTCAGTTAAATATTGATGATCAACTGTATTCACATTTTCCAGAATACACAGAAACTGGAATTTTATATGCCAATGGACTACAAACTACATAGCACATATTAATATATATCACATGCTTTTTGAAAAGGATTTATTTATTTGAAAGGTTGAGCAACAGAGACGGAGAAGAACGAGACTAACAAAACTAATACTGATATGACAGATGTTATAGACAGGAGTGAAAAATAATTGCAAGAAGAAGGAGAAAGAAATAAAGCAGGAAAGAGAAGAAGGTATCTGATAAGCCAGCTTGCATGATGTCATATGTAAAATTCTGTGCACTCACCTATGTGTGTTGTGCATATGTGATGTAAATCTATTGCTTCATAATCTCTAATCTTGGCTACACTTGGAAACTCCTGTTGATAATTAGTTAGGATTAGACATGCTAAAAGCAGATATTTTTATGTCTTAAATAAATGTGTCACTATAAATATTTCTTTTGCTTTCTAATTTATAACTTTGTTTTCTCCTATCTTTTCTCTCCCTGTCCTCATTCCTCTGTTCTTCGATTGAACAATTGAAATATGCAACAACTAGTGCACATTTACTATACGTTAGTTATGCCTAAGGAACATTGACCCTAAAAGTTTTTTTAAAGATCCATTGTTCTGGGCCAGTGCTGCAGATCACTAGGCTAATCCTTCACCTGTGGCGCCAGCACCCCAGGTTCTAGTCCCAGTTCTAGTCCTGGTTGGGGTGCCGGTTCTGCCCAGGTTGCTCCTCTTCCAGTCCAGCTCAATTGTTCAATTCCTCATTCATTTCAATTAATGAATGCTTTTTTCTTTTTTCTTTTTTTCTGACAGGCAGAGTGGATAGTGAGAGAGAGAGACAGAGAGAAAGGTCTTCCTTTGCCGTTGGTTCACCCTCCAATGGCCGCCACGGCTGGTGCGCTGCGGCTGGCGCACCGCACTGATCCGATGGCAGGAGCCAGGTACTTATCCTGGTCTCCCATGGGGTGCAGGACCCAAGCACTTGGGCCATCCTCCACTGCACTCCCTGGCCACAGCAGAGAGCTGGCCTGGAAGAGGGGCAACCGGGACAGAATCTGGTGCCCCGACCAGGACTAGAACCTGGTGTGCCGGCGCCGCTAGGTGGAGGATTAGCCTGTTGAGCCGCGGCGCAGGCTTAATGAATGCTTATTCCTTACTTAATGAACCCTTATTCGTTCCACATTGCACTTCATATTCTATAACATAATCTGACAACAAATGTGCCATGTGATTGAGTGCTTTGTATCACACTATAGTATTTTGCTCTAGCTTGAGTCTTCAGCTTTTGCAATTTTTATCCCAACCGTAAACGTTTTATGAGCATGCGCCGGCAACATACGTATTTTGTTTATCTTGTGTTTAATGATAAAATTCTATTTAAATTATAAAACTTTCAAAAATATAGCTTCAATGAATGGTATGCAATAATATAAGCATAGAAATCATACTACTTTCATACCAATACATTTTCATGTTCATCCTTTAAGGTGAGCACATTCTCAATTTGGAGAACACTGTATAGATGAGCATCAGATCTTATTTCCTTCAGGGTAATTAAGAACCTTTTTATTTAGAGCAGATTGATGAGTTGATGGATCATAGAGAAAAAGAAAATATTGACAATAAGAACAATGGATTTTTTTTTGACAGGCAGAGTTAGACAGTGAGAGAGAGACAGAGAGAAAGGTCTTCCTTCCATTGATTCACCCCCCAAATGGCTGCTACAGCCGGAGCTAGGCCAATCTGAAGCCAGGAGCCAGGTGCTTCCTCCTGGTCTCCCATGCGGGTGCAGGGCCCAAGCACTTGAGCCATTCTCCATTGCCTTCCCGGGCCAGAGCAGAGAGCTGGACTGGAAGAGGAGCAACCGGGGCAGAACCCAGCACCCCAACCTGGAATAGAACCTGGGGTGCTGGTGCTGCAGGTGGAGGATTAGCCTAGTGAGCCGCGCCGCCGGCCTAGAACAATGGATCTTTAAAAAAACTTATAGGGTCAATGTTCCTTAGACATAACTAACATATAGTAAATGTGCACTAGTTGTTGCATATTTCAATTGTTCAGTGATAAACAGACATATGTAACGATTATCACCAATATGTAGAACATTTCTGTCAGCTTGAGAAGCTTTGTCATTCCATTTTGCTTGCAAACTGTACCCTCATCCTTCATTCAAATTAAAACCAGAAGACTTGAATAGAAGGGGTTACTTTTGTTCTCAGTAAACATCCACATACCAGATGCGAATTAGGCACAAATACAGGGCAGTGGTATCTCAGAGTTCCACATGAAATAGAAACACAGGACTGAAGCAGAAATGTGTGGCTTTAAGATCAGGATGCTGGCAGTTATGGAATGCGGAAACATGAAGAAAATGTTAGAGAGATAGTACAAAGTAGATGTGATAGATACTATTTTTTTTTTTTAAATTTAAGATTGAGGGAATGCTGAAATATAGAGATCTCTTACTCTTGTTCTCTGCCCCAAATACCTACAATAGCCTTGAAGTAGAGGCCAGAGCTGTTAGCCAGAGACCCATTCAAGGTCTCTCACATGGGTGACAGGAACAAAATTACACCAATGCAGCCCCCAAGGACTGCATTAGCAGGAAGCTGGAATCAGGAGAGGAGCTGGGTATTGAACCCAGATACTTGATGCAGGAAATGGGCTTGTAACTGTCATCTTAACTGCTGGGCCAAATGCCTAGGTCCACATCTTGAGTTTAATTTTAAAGAAATATGATCTAGGTGGAAGAGATTGAAATAAATTCCATATTTCCTGATATTATGTAGGAAGAGGAGATGGAGAGGAAAAACAGCACAGTGGTGACCGAATTCGTCCTCCTCGGCCTCACCCAGTCTCGAAATATTCAGCTCCTGGTCTTTGTGCTGATCTTCACCTTCTACTCCATCATCCTCCCTGGAAACTTCCTCATCATCCTCACCATCAGATCAGACCCCGGGCTCTCAGCCCCCCTCTACTTCTTCCTGGGCAACCTGGCCTTCCTGGATGCCTCCTACTCCTTCATCGTGGCTCCCAGGATGCTGGTGGACTTCCTCTCTGAGGAGAAGCTCATCTCCTACAGAGGCTGCATCACCCAGCTCTTCTTCCTGCACTTCCTGGGGGGAGGGGAAGGCCTCCTTCTGGTCGTGATGGCCTTTGACCGCTACGTCGCCATCTGCCGGCCTTTGCACTATGCAACCCTCATGAACCCCAGAGCCTGCTACTCCATGCTGTTGGCGCTGTGGCTTGGAGGCTTTCTCCATTCCATTATCCAGGTGGCCCTCATCCTGCGGTTGCCCTTCTGTGGCCCGAACAGGCTGGATAACTTCTTCTGTGATGTCCCGCAGGTCATCAAGCTGGCCTGCACGGACACCTTCGTGGTGGAGCTGCTGATGGTCTTCAACAGTGGCCTGATGACGCTCCTGTGCTTCCTGGGGCTTCTGGCCTCCTACGCAGTCATCCTCTGCCACGTTCGTAAGTCAGCCTCTGAAGGGAAGAACAAGGCTCTGTCTACATGTACTACTCACGTCATCATTATACTTCTCATGTTTGGACCTGCCATCTTCATCTACACGCGCCCATTCAGAGCCTTGCCAGCTGATAAAGTGATTTCTTTCTTCCACACAGTGATCTTTCCATTGATGAATCCTGTGATTTACACACTGCGCAACCAGGAAGTGAAAGCTTCCATGAAGAGGTTGTTGAGTCGGTATGTGGTCTATTGAATGGATTTCAAAATGAGAAATCAAGAAGGAAGACTTTGGGCTGCATTCCATTCTCGTAGTAAAAATTGTTTTCCATTGAACATTTCCCTTTGTTCAGGTTCTATTAAAGAAAATGGGGAGGGGGGAAAATAAACTCAGATTATTTAAACAATACAAAGGAAAGTTTAGAGTGGTTGGAAAACAATGAGTGAGTACAAGAGATTCAGGGGTCAAAATTTATGTAACTTTAAGTGTCAAATCTGAAGTCTTTTGGACTGAGAGACATTTGATTATATTTTATTGGAAATGGGGTCCATTTTAGTGTTTTAAACAAAAGATTGACTCATCCATAATTCCTTCTCTTATGGGATAGGCAGAGATCAATAAGCTATAAAACCTAAAGAGCCAAATATTGAACACATTTTTGAAAATAATATAGTATTCAGAATCTGGAAGAGAGATAAAAGGGAAGCTAATTAGTTGCATGGAAAAATGTCATAAAATTATTCGAATTTATTTTTTCAGAGCTTTATGATTCTTATTATTTATATATTGCTACAGATTATGTTGTGAATTGCTAAAATCCCTGCAATTATTTTAAATATACTTAGGTTTAATGTGAGAAATTAAGTACTTATAAATTCTTTTTAATGGAAAAAGACAAGTTTCTACTCTGGGTGTCTTAAAATGATGTCAGTAAAATTCCATATAACTAACCTGCTACATGCCTTATCTGCAATAATCAGGAGACTGGGAAGACAGAGAGCCGCCTTTCTAGCTCTTAGCTCAGGAAACACATCAGCTAGCTGTGGCCCGGTAGTCAGGAGAATGATACAGAGTGCTGCCCATGTTACTGGCGCTCTCCAATTAATTTATGCTAAACTCAATGACTTACTTCACTTAACATAATAATCTGTTAACAGTGACCTAATAATCACACATTCCAGCTACGTTGTTGCAAATGATGAGACATTTTCCTTTTTATGCCCCAGTAGTATTCATTGCATATATGTACCATGTTTTTACCATAAAGAGATGCTACATTTTTGAGGAGATAGATATGTGTACTCTGATTGGACATTATATCATATAAAATATATATATTTACACATATTGAAACATCATTTGGTACTCATAAATATGTGCAATTTTTATGTGTGAGTTAAATTTTTAAAAAAAGTTTTACATGAGTACATTTGATAGAAACTTAGAAAACCTGTTTATATGTTCACAGCTTCTTCAGAAAATAAGATAATACAAAAATGGTGGTAAAATAGAGTATACAGGTTTTACAATCTTGGAGATGCGAAATAATACATTTAAATTGAAAATAGAAATAGGACAACAGGTACATTGGCATGTAAATATTTAAAAATTGTGTGTAGGTAAAATGCAAAAGTGATGCAAAACTCCCCATAACTTATGTTTATGCATATTATATTCTGTACAATAGTTTATATGGAAATTAAAATAAATATTACCTCCCTATTCTAGCATTATGTGAGAGCATCCATGCATAAATTTAAAGAAAAGCTGTAAAGTAAATGAAAACAAATGATAAAAGAGTAATTTACTTAATACATAAGACCTTTCATCAGGATTGTGAATAGGTACATATTATAATGAAATACAGGCTGGCACCACGGCTCAATATGCTAATCGTCCACCTTGTGGTGCCGGCACACTGGGTTCTAGTCACAGTCGGGGCGCCGGATTCTGTCCCGGTTGTCCCTCTTCCAGGCCAGCCCTCTGCTGTGGCTTGGGAGTGCAGTGGAGGATGGCCCAGGTATTTGGGTCCTGAACCCCATGGGAGACTAGGAGAAGCACCTGGCTCCTGCCTTCGGATAGGCATGGTGCGCCGGCCGCTGTGCGCCAGCCGTGGCGGCCATTGGAGGGTGAACCAACGGCAAAAGGAAGACCTTTCTCTCTCTCTCTCTCTCACTGTCCACTCTGCTTGTAAAAAAAAAAAAAAAGGTAGACAGGCCGATGCTGTGGTATAAGCTGGTAAAGCCACCACTTGCAGTGCCGGAATACCATATGGGTGCCAGTTCAAGCCTTGGCGGCTCCACTTCCCTTCCAGCTCTCTACTATGGCTTGGGAAAGCAGTACAAGATGGCCTGAGTTCTTTTTTTAAAAACTTTTATTTAATAAATATAAATTTCTAAAGTACAACTTTTGGATTATAGTGGTTTTTCCCCCATAACCACCCTTCCACCCACAAACCATCCTATCTCCTACTCCCTGTCCCATCCCATTCTTCATTAAGATTCATTTTTAATTATCTTTATATACAGAAGATCAACTTAGTATATGCTAAGTAAAGATTTTGGCCGGCGCCACGGCTCAATAGGCTAATCCTCCGCCTGCAGCACTGGCACGCCAGGTTCTAGTCCTGGTCGGGGCACCGGATTCTGTCCCGGTTGCTCCTCTTCCAGGCCAGCTCTCTGCTGTGGCCCGGGAGTGTAGTGGAGGATGGCCCAAGTCCTTGGGCCCTGCACCCCATGGGAGACCAGGATAAGTACCTGGCTCCTGCCTTCGGATCAGTGCTGTGCGCCAGCCGCAGCGCGCCGGCCACGGCAGCTATTGGAGGGTGAACCAATGGCTAAAGGAAGACCTTTCTCTCTGTCTCTCTCTCTCACTATCCACTCTGTCAAAAAAAATAAAAAATAAAAAAAAAAAAAGATTTCAACAGTTGGCACCCCCACAGACACACAAAGTATAGAGTACTGTTTGAGTACTAATTTTACCGTTAATTCGCATAGTGTAACACATTAAGGACAGAGATCCTACATGGGGAGCAGGTGCACAGTGACTCCTGTTGTTGATTTAACAGTTGACATTCTTATTTATGATGTCAGTAATCACCTGAGGCTCTTCTCATGAGCTGCCAAGGTTATGGAAGCCTCTTGAGTTCACAAATTCAGACCTTATTTAGATAAGGTCATAGTCAAAGTGGAAGTTCTCTCCTCCCTTCAGAGAAAGGCACCTCCTTCTTTGATGATGGCCCGAGTTCTTAGGCCGCTGCACCCTCCTGGGAGATCCAGAGGAAGCTTCTGGCTCCAGGCTTCAGATCAGCCCAGCTCTGGCAGTTGGAGCCATTTGGGGAGTGAACCAGCAGATGGAAGACCTCTCTCTCTCTCTCCTTTCTGCCTCTGCCTCTCTGAAACTATGCCTTTCAAATAAATAAATACATCTTAAAAAAGGTTTAAAATAAATAAATAAATGAAATGTAGAAAAAGATTAAAAGGTTTATAAATACAAATAAAAATTATCCCTTAATAATAAACCTTAGAAATAAAGACAACTGATTCTGGTTAGCATGTAGAAGAGTATTACTCGTGTGTTGTTAACAAAAAGTGGCTCAGAATAAAAATTACACTTCTAGGAGGCTATCAAAGAGCAGATGAAATAAGGAAGCCATATAGTGTTGAATGCAGACAGGGACAAGGCCTTTGCCTTGAATGCAGATGAACAGAGACCCATGGCAGCCTTACATACTTGGGGCAAGTACTTAGTATGGGAATAGATAGGTAAAGGAATTATCCTGTCACAGATTGAGATATTTGCAGAAATGAGGAAAAACAAGCTGAGCTTTCAGTGACATATGAAATGCAAACAGATAAAAATTTGAAAAAGTTCCAAACACAAAAATAAATATTTTACCTTCAGAATTTTTAAAAATATTATTTATCTGAAAGGCAGACTTACAGAGAGCCAAAGGCAGAGGCAAAGGTAGAAAGAGAGGTCTTCCATCCATTTCTTTGCTCCCCAAATGGCCGCAATGGCCAGAGCTGAGCCAATCTAAAGCCAGGTCTCCCACGCAGGTGCAGGGGCCCAAGAACTTGGGCCATCCTCTACTGTTATCCCAGGCTATAGCAGAGAACTGGATCAGAAGTGGAGCAGCCAGAACTAGAACAGGTGCCCGTATGGGATGCTGGCACTGCAGGAGTGTGGTGGAATGAGAGGGCCATGCCAAGGAGGCTGCTGGCAAGCCAGCATCACTTACTCAGGAATGGCTTTGAATCCCACCTGGCAACGGAGCCTGTCTGGCAACAGGCTGTGATTGGATGGCTTTGAATCCCACCTGGCAATGGTGCATTCCTGGCAACAGGCTGTGATTGGTTGGGGTATAGACCGTCCCTTGACCAGATTGGCTGGTCTTGGCTATATAAGATGTTGTACCAACTGAAATAAATGAGTCTGCGGGCTGCTTGCCTCAAGCCCGCTTTCACCCAACTCCCAGGGTCTGTGTGGTGACTCCGTGCCTTTTGCCCACACTATGCTCCTCCTCTCAGAAACGAATCCACCACAACATTGTTGAGAAATCAACTGCAACACAGGAGGAAGCTTTACAAACTACTCAGCTACAGCACCAACCCCCACTTTCAAATTTTTTTACCTGTCTCTTTCCACTTAAAAATGTAGCAATAATGTGTCAGAAAAGAAGTGGAGAAAGCAGTGAATCACAGGGAAATCTCACATTCATAGTTATTGCAGTGTTCATATACTGGTGTCTACAGAGTTGATTCCAAAGACAAGGAACTGTCTGAATGTGACCCATCCCCTCCAAGATAGAATATTGATGGGACAAAGGTATCAGTGTGTTGGTGGCAGGTGTACCAGGTGTCAGTGTTAAGACAAGTAAGAGCTAAATCCCGTGTAATTAAAGAAAACTCTAAGTAGCAGCTCAAGTGGACCTTTGGAGAAATCATTAGAAGGCATGTGAAAAAAGAGAGAGAGAGAGAGAGAGGGAGAGCAAGAGAGAGAGAGAGAGCGAGAGAGAGTGAGAGAGAGAGAGAGAGAGAGAGAGAAACCAGGGAAGACCATCTTATAATTACTGTAAAATTCTTAAAAAAAATATTCTCAGTTGAATATTAGAATTGTCAGACTAGGACTATTGAAAACTATCACAAACATATTGAAGAAATGACAAGTGTAATTGATGAGATAACTGTGCACTTTCTTAATGTAATGGCTATTCTAGAATCTAAGCAACAGTATTTGAAATAAAAACAAATTCCTTTGGTGAACTGAACAATGTTTTGTTCACTGCTGATAAACTAATGATTATAAAGATAAGCCCATGGAAATAACCAGTTTGAAGGACAAAAAGTAAAAAATATTTAAAAATATGAACAGTGTTCACCTTTGTATAATTGAAATTCTGGAAGAAGAGGAGAGAGAATGGGATTGAGAAATGTCTGAAGAAATAAATTTCAAAAATTCTCCAAATCTTACAAAAATAATCCATATACACAATATAAATGCAAGTAGGACCACAGATATACATCTAATGGTGTAATGGGTGCTAAACAAAGATGAAAAGACTATTTTAAGAACATCCATGAAGACTGAAAAATGTTAGGTACAACAAAAAACACAAGTGGTGAAATTAGATTTATAAAACTCCATAAGAAAAAAAAACCTACAAGCTATCAAGATAATTCTATATCCAGTGGAAAAAATTTTTTAAAAAGATGTGCAAATAGTTTAATATTCATAATACTGAGACATAATTTGTTAGTAGTAGACTAACACTAAAAGTTTTACTTCACTCTTATAGAAAAATAAAACATGGAAATTTGAATTTACAGGAAGGATGGAAAAGGCTTTACAAGTAGCAAATAGCTGTGTAAATGTGAAAAAATCTACTTAATCTTTTCTTGTTTAATTTAATTTTAATTAAAAATATAAACACTATGGTGCTGATAAACATATATAGGCATAAAATATTTGACAATAAGAGAACAATGAGTTTAAGAAGGGATACAATATTTGTATTTTTATAATGCTCTTACATTTCCCACGAAGTATTCTTGAGTAGTACTTCAAGCTAGGTTGTAATAAGTTAAAGATGAGTATTGTAAATACTAGAGCAACAGCAAAATATAATACAGTAAGGTTTATGTAGAATGCATTTAGAGCAGAGACAATGAAACAAGAAAAGGTAATTCATCTGAAAGAAGGAAGCAAAGAAAACACAAAAGAATAAATAATGGATAAGAGAAATTAAAACCAAATAGCAATGGTGGACCTAAACTCAAATATCAATTATTACACTAAATGTAAGTGGACTGAACATGCAAATAAAAATCAAAAGCTTTTTATCAACAGCCTGAAAAGACAAAGTAAAAGTATATACACTTATAGGAGATGTACCTGTCAAGGTGTTGTTAATAAAATGGTGAAGAATGATAAACTATAAAAACCTTAATTAATTCATTAATTTCTGATTAATATCAAATAAAGCAAACTCCAACTATATTATAGGATTACTAAGTATTTGAAAAAGCATTTTAGAGTGATAAAATGTTAATTAATCAAGAAAACATAAATATCCTAAATGTGTATTCCTGTAGTAGCAGAAGTTTAAAATTTTATAAATTTAGAAATGTCTACTTAAGAGAACAGATGATCGAGAACATAGGTTGAGACTTGAACAAAGTTTTCATGAAAATTTATAGAATCAGCTAGTAAAAATTATCAAGTAACATTATCAACCAACTTAACCTAGTTGCTATTTAGAATAGTACATCCAACACTATCACGCATACATCTTTTCTAGTGCACCTGGTACATTCACCAATATAGATCCTTGACCAGCCCATAAAAGAGTCTCAATAAATTTCATATGGAATGTATTTTCTCACTACAATGAAGTCGAATTAGGCATAATTATAAGAGAACTATAAAATCCCTGAATGTCTACAAATAAAGCTTTATACTAATAAGTAATTGAATGTGTCCAAAATTGTAGAGACAGTAGAAAATATTTTGCTTTGAATGATCATTAGAATACAATGCAGCAATACTTTTGGTAATAAGTAGATCAGTATTTATATAGAGATTTATAACTATGCTTATATTAATTAGAAGAGAAGGAGCTTATAAAACTAATGATCTAAATTTCCATCTATGAAGCAACAGAAGAATAAATTAAGCCCAAATTAGATATACAGAAAGAAACAAAAGAATAAGAACAAAAATCAATGGAATATAAAGTAGACAAATATTAGGGAAACTTTTAAAAGCCAAAATTTGTTTGAAATTATTACCAAAATTATAATCCCCTAGCAAAAATGATGATTTTTGAAAGACAAAGGCACAAACTACCAGTATTAAGGAAGACAAAGAAGAATCACAAGTTCTAAAGAAATTGAAGGGATAATAAAGGGAGTGTTAAGAACAACAATATGACAATGCATAGATAAAGTTAGGTAAAAAGGATTTT